CCAAAGAGCTGTCAAGGACACCAGAAACAAAATTGTAGACCTGCACCAGGCTGGGAAGACTGAATCTGCAATAGGTAAGCAGCTTGGTTTGAAGAAATCAACTGTGGGAGCAATTATTAGGAAATGGAAGACATACAAGACCACTGATAATCTCCCTCGATCTGGGGCTCCACGCAAGATCTCACCCCGTGGGGTCAAAATGATCACAAGAACGGTGAGCAAAGATCCCAGAACCACACGGGGGGACCTAGTGAATGACCTGCAGAGAGCTGGGACCAAAGTAACAAAGCCTACCATCAGTAACACACTACGCCGCCAGGGACTCAAATCCTGCAGTGCCAGACGTGTCCCCCTGCTTAAGCCAGTACATGTCCAGGCCCGTCTGAAGTTTGCTAGAGTGCATTTGGATGATCCAGAAGAGGATTGGGAGAATGTCATATGGTCAGATGAAACCAAAATATAACTTTTTGGTAAAAACTCAACTCGTCGTGTTTGGAGGACAAAGAATGCTGAGTTGCATCCAAAGTACACCATACCTACTGTGAAGCATGGGGGTGGAAACATCATGCTTTGGGGCTGTTTTTCTGCAAAGGGACCAGTACGACTGATCCGTGTAAAGGAAAGAATGAATGGGGCCATGTATCGTGAGATTTTGAGTGAAAACCTCCTTCCATCAGCAAGGGCATTGAAGATTAAACGTGGCTGGGTCTTTCAGCATGACAATGATCCCAAACACACCGCCCGGGCAACGAAGGAGTGGCTTCAAGAAGCATTTCAAGGTCCTGGAGTGGCCTAGCCAGTCTCCAGATCTCAACCCCATAGAAAATCTTTGGAGGGAGTTGAAAGTCCGTGTTGCCCAGCGACAGCCCCAAAACATCACTGCTCTAGAGGAGATCTGCATGGAGGAATGGGCCAAAATACCAGCAACAGTGTGTGAAAACCTTGTGAAGACTTACAGAAAACGTTTGACCTGTGTCATTGCCAACAAAGGGTATATAACAAAGTATTGAGAAACTTTTGTTATTGACCAAATACTTATTTTCCACCATAATTTGCAAATAAATTCATAAAAAATCCTACAATGTGATTTTCTGGATTTTTTTCTCTCAATTTGTCTGTCATAGTTGACGTGTACCTATAATGAAAATTACAGGCCTCTCTCATATTTTTAAGTGGGAGAACTTGCACAATTGGTGGCTGACTAAATACTTTTTTCCCCCACTATACCTCTTCCTTATACAAGTGTGGTTTGATTTGGACTACCACTGCATTCTGCTGTTCAACACTGTCTTATTCTGGCTCCTCCATCAGAACATTCACTGAAGCGAACTGGGAGAACTTGCACAATTGGTGGCTGACTAAATACTTTTTTTCCCCACTGTATATGTTTTAGGAGAATACCACTTGATGTGTTCCATACAAAAAGCTGTGGTACTTCATAGAAAACCAATGTCATTGGGGAAATAGACTTCCAGCTTGTTTATCCTTGTCCACCACACACTCATATGGTACCTTGTTGTCTCCTCTGATATGCTATTTCCCAGCAGCCACATGTGATTTGGCTCTAGGGTAATGCTTTTGTCACAGTGTTTTATCTGTCCTCTCACTCAGATATACACTATCCAGTTCTCCCTAATTACCCTCTCTGCATTTTACACTTGGCCCAGAATTCGTCATGCTTGATAACGGATTCAGCAGGTCGATAGGAGATTTACTTATAGAGCCTCTATCTATGTGACCTGCATCACTGACTGGCCGCCCCTCAGGCTCCTCACTGAAAGCTGTTCACTGTGTGATAACAGCGACCTGAAGTGATAACCTTCTCCAGTCTTGAGGACACACGGTTTGTTCCATAAGGGCTTTATTACAGTCGCAGCATTTTTGTATTCAACCTTTGGTTCTCTGCTTTGCTCAGATTCATTTAATGGGTTTGAGAAGGTGGTTAAAGGTTGTGTCTGCTCTAGACAGTGAAACGCAGGCAGACCTTTGCTACAAAAGCACTGTTTGGCATTTCATGATTTTCTATCATTTTTTTGAAAGATGTAATCTCAGCCAAAATATTAGGAGTGCATGGGCTCACACTTCTTGACAAATTGCACTATAATTGTAATTGTTCAAATCTGTTTCCAGAGTTCTAAAGGCATTTTGATGAATGGATTGTATTAAGCCAATTGTTGTCCTTGCATATTTTCATTATGATGAAGGGAAAGGATACTTAATTCCATTTGTAAAAGGTTATCATACTCAGCAGGCATGGCTGATTTAGAACTAATACCTCTGGGGAAGTGTGATCTTTGTTTGGGACAGTATCTAATCGTTTTTGATAAAGGAAAACCTTCTTACACTTATCAGTATTTGAATGAGTCGCCCAAAACGGATGGAGCGAGGACTACTTTGCTCCTTTTTGACTCAGATGTACAGTATCCCATAAGATATAGGGAAGGGGAAGTTACTCTGAAAATATAGTTTACCAAGCTACTAATTACTTCACACTGGAAGAAGTTGAGCTACGCTAAAGAAGTTGAGCTACGCTAAGAAACATATAGTTTACCTAACTAAAGAGTCATTTCAGCAAGCCATGACACCCACCATCTCAGATTGTTCTGAAATCGTTTCTGTAGGTCGAAACAGATAAGATTAGCATTCCTGAAAAATTATTTTGTTGAAATAAATCTAATTGATTTCACACAAATTGGCCATTTTAATTTATAGGATTGATATATTCTTCAATAAATATTGGACCATAATTCTTCCTAACAATGATTTAAGGCATGAGGAATCCAATAAAATGATCAAAAGCCACCCACGGACCCCCACACCTTCACCCAACAACCAGTATACAATATCAGTTCTCTGTCTGACAAGTAGTATGGAGCTGCTGCTTAGAGTATTGCTTATTCATCCTTTGTAATGTATTCCATGTGAATCTGGTGATGGTATTTTTCCCCTGTTCAGAGAAATTAGCCATTGAAGTCGCTTGCATTATTTACCATAAATTAGTGTGGAAAGTACACCGTTTTGCCCACTAGATACCACTGTTCCTGCTACTGCCACCACACCCTTTTATCCATTTTGCTTGTCTCTTGTGTTTTATTAAATGGATCACAAAATGTTCTTTGCAACTTTGGGTAGAAAACCAATAGCTTTTGCTCATTATGGAAATAAATTGTCAATCGTCTTTCTTGTGCTTTTTGAGGTTGAATGTCTCTAAAGTTACTTTGATAAACATCCAAGCTACTTAGTGATAAATTGTCATATCTGAAATGTCATATACTACAAATTGCAATAACATATCACTCTGGAGTCAGATGTTAAAGGAAAATACCTCTCAAAAACGATATTTTAGTATTTGTTTCATTAGCCCACTGTTGATACAGTCCCAAAATGTTTTGCAAATACCAAAGGATGGTATTTTTCTTAACAGAATGTGTAATTTAGCCTATTCAACACAAAAACTGTTACAAGTGAGAATTAGGCAGGTCTGATGCCGTCAAAGAAAAGGACATTCTTGCCTATTTCACCAATTATTTCTTTGTGTGTAGTTCCAGTTAGTTACACCTCTAAAAAGTAATTAACTTCTGAAAACACTACCCAGATTTGAATTGAGTTCAACTAACACCAAGCTACTGCAAAATGTATTTAAATTACTAGTTGAATTACATGTAGTTCACTACTCCCAAACACTGCATAAGATATCCTCTACGTGAACCTTAGCACTGTAGTAATGGTATGGAGTTGAGTCTGCTGCTATGGTTTCATATTCTGGAGGGACACTGACTGTGTGAAGTTATATCAACCCTAGTTTTAATCCTTTTCTCTAGTGTTCTGCAATGTAGTGTTGTAATCTTAATGATAATCTGTCCCTGTATTTCAGCCCCCAGCATCTGTCAGGCTGCTTGGTTCTGGAGCTGCGTCTTATCAGTGGCCATGTCATTAAATCAGCTGTCTCTTAGACAAATTTCACTCCCGTTACTCTTATCAACACATCAGCACGCTGTGATTTCCTTTTCAATCAGGACTTTGTACAGTACTATAGGCAAGTCTGAGGGATAAAAACACAAAAAAGGCTTTTTCTGCATATAGTTTATTTGAATGTTTGGATATTTGAAAACATAATACATTTGTCATATTATGGATAGTTTAGAAATGAATGCACTTTATGTATCTAGTCCCCCCATTTGAAGGTGCCATAAGTATATGGACAAATTCATTTATAGCGTAATAATACTCTAATTTAATAGACTATAAGTGCATTTGTCAAAACACTTAAGACACCTTCAAATGGGGGGACTAGATACATAAAGTGCATTCATTTATAAATGGTAAAACAGATATGTATGAAAATACCCTCAAATAAAAGGTGACATTCTCTATTGTCGCATCATATGAAACATTTGATCTCAAACTCAAAATGCTGGCGTATAGAGCCAAATAAAAATGTTTTGCTTCACTGTCCAAATAAATACACAGGGGAGTGTAGATATTCTCTGTATTCATTACAATGTCTTGGACCTACCTTGTGCATTTTAAGAGATTTGCAGTTGTAGGATATAATTAGGAAAACAGAACTACAATGGTCAAAAGGTATTGTCAGTCTACTGAAAGCAGAAATCTGGGCTCTTGGGTGATTGGTCGCTCTGTGTTTTGTTGTGTTGATGTTTTGAAATGTGATGACAAGTTTGCTGTCATGTCTAAGCTCTTACCGTGTGACATACAGTATGATGACATTAAGTATCTCTGGGCACAAAGGCGAACGATTGATTGTGCTGAGAAATGGGTTAAATAAATACTGTGTCTACAGAAACAAGCTTAGCTTTCAGGTCTATATTTGACTGACCTCTGGAGGATGGGGTGTGTAGGGTGCTCAGTTCTCCTCAGAAAGCACTGTTTCTGTCAGAGTGAAGGTTCTGATTGTTTCAGCACTGTGCTTGAGTGGAGGGCAGTGCAGAATGAACTCCTCTGATCCTTCCCACTCGACTGTTTGATACCAGTTCAGTCAGTCAGTTAGCCAGTGGGGTGGAAAGAGCCAGAGTCCCCTCGTCCAGACCCAGACACGCTCTCTTAGAGTCAGGGAAACTGCTGTGTGGGGACAGACCAAGAGGTCTCTTGCTGGCTATCTGTGGGGAATCCACACCTTCTCTCTCCTCCCAGAGAGCACAGAGGGTCTCAGGGGGCTGGTAGCCGGGCTCCTGGGGGTCCAGGGGGTCTTTGGACAAAAGGATGCTGATGGAAGGGACGGTCCTGTGAACGGTCATCTCCGATGTCCCCCCTTCGTGGCTCTCCCACACCTCCCTCACGCCCTTGTAGCGCAGCTTGGTCAGCTGGTGCAGACACCCCACTTTTCTCTTCATGATCTCAGCGCATGTGATGGTCTTGGTGACGGCACGACCTGACCCAGAGAAAATGACCTGCCTCAGGCCACCGCCTCCACTATCCCCACCACCACTGACATCCCCCTGCATGCGAGCCATGGCAAAACCCATGAGGTTACGGATCTTACTACCCTCCTTAACACGCATCTCCAGCACTCCTGAGGCCAGTCCTGGGAAAGGGCACGGGCTGTCCTCCTCTGTGCGACACACCTTCTTGAACCCACCCTGGCTCGGTTTGAGTGCGGTGGGAGGTGGAGTTAGAGGTGTAGGCAGCGGCGTGGGCTGTGTGTTGGAAACACTGTTCACAGTGCAGGAGGGCTGCCCACTGTAAGGCTGAACCTGATATACTGGGCACCTAGCTGGGGTCACACCGGTTTCCATTGGGACCTGTGCATTCCCTCCAGGTCCGGTGTATGGTCTGACAGAGTCCCTGACCTGATACTGGCTCTGAATGCTGGCCACTCCAACTCCACAGCCAGAATACATCTCTTCAGTCCTGTATCTTCTCCAAGTCCAGGCAGAGTCTCTTACTCATATGGGATCCAGCATAGCAATGTTTCTTATTCTTATTCTTGTTATAGGTTTATTTTTTCTGTAGACGTCTGCAAAAGTTTCAAGGCTTCAGACAGGAATATTATCCAGCTCGCAGAGAGTGCTTTCAATGGAGTCTTTCATGCTGCGTTACAGACAGCTGAAAAAATAAGATAAACGCTGGTGGTGAATTAAGAATACAGATGGGACAATATTTCTTTTTTTAAACCATCTCAATTTCACTTCTTGAAACTGGGTTGAAAATGCATAAATTCTCAGCTGAAGTGTCCTTTCTCTTGTTTTCTCTCGATGAGCCTTTATCTTTGTAACCTGGATACTTCACTCTAACTTTTCAAGAGAAAACTGCTACTTAACACAACACACTCAATACACCTCTCACTTAGGGTTCAAATCTAGCATTGATCAGTTGGATTCATATCATCATCAACTCTCATCTCACTTTCTGGGACGGTCCAGTTGATCAGCGTCTCTTCTCCTTTTGTGGACCTCTTGGCCAAGGTGCTCTGGGGGAGCTGTCCCCCTCAGGGCTGGGTCAGGGGTGGCTGTAGGCTGGAACCCTGGGCGTCCTGCCTGGAACTCTGTGTCTCTGTCTCCAGTTATGCTCTAGAAAGTGTGCCCTCGGTTTCCCCACAAAGAGACGTAAGGGACAGGAGCTGCTTCACAAATGCTCGCAGGAGGAGTGTCTACTCTGTGTGGTTGAGGGGGCGCATGAGGGAAAGGGGGGACAGCCCTCTTAAAGGCACAGGCCATTTCATATCTCAGATGAACACTTTCCCTCCACAATAGAAACCTGCCATGGTGGGGAGGGGGGTCATGTCCCTTTAAGAGCCGGAGCGAGCGCAGATCCCGGGCAACTTTGTCAATCTCTTTAGAGGACGTTCCAGTGCATGTGTTCAATGTACATGACTGATTAAACCTGATTTCTGAAATAGAGACGCAGTGAAGCTTTAAAAATGCATTTTCGGCTGTGAAACAATGAATTACATTAGCAAGGTTATAATTGAAAGCATCATTCAAGGAGCCAGTTAAAGTCAGCGACATTCTATTGCACTGTACTTAGCCTTTATCCTATTAGATGTTTTTGGCCATTACTATTTACATAATGTGGTGTTAATGGCTTCATTGTTCAATTGGTCCACTGAGGTGCATGTCTCTCACGGATGAGTTGTTATATTGTTACCAGGTTGGAAACAACCTCTCATGATGATCAAGGACAGAAATATAGAGCCATTACTTCTAGCACCAAAGTATTGTTATGATGGGACATGGATAGCTCTGCACATTAGTGTGCTGGAGGCACCTCCAGGTGAGATGGTGTGAAAGCGGTGACAAGTGGGCTAATAAGCAGACTAATGGGCCCTCCAACACCAGAGGAGGGCGCTGTCACACTCTCCTGTCCCGGCCCAGACAGCTGCAGCGTCTCCCAGCCCAGCCTCCTGGAAGACAGGTGGATTTGTTTTGGCCTGTGACTGACAGATGGGAAAATTGTTAAAGACAGCCCACTGAGGCTGAACCTATGAGGCCAGGAGAGAGGCACAAAACTCCTAACTATTCTCCAATCACTCCTCTGAGGGCACACACTGGGAATAAGAACCAAGCTATACTGGGACTAGTCCATGAAGGTCATGTACATTGGCGTGGGTATTATTTTGGATCCCCAAAGGTAATCAAAGAAAATAAGGAGGTCTGTTGTTTCCATGGTGTTATTTAAATCAGTATTACATGTTGTATTCTATTCCAAGTTTCTATGAGTGAGAAGCACCATTTCTTCACCAACGAAAAATCCAGATCTGAGAACACATTTGCCAATACAGATTTTTTGGGTTTGTGCACAATTTTGTTTATTTTCTCACCAACAGCTTTATTATAGACAACGTGTGCGTAGCTCAAATGCATGGGACTGGAGAGCTATTTATCATCTGAACCCATTCTACACACTGCTGGAGACATAGCAACAAATGTCTCTGTTTTCTTTCTAATCTGATATAGAGAAGGGGGAGGGAGTTGGGGGACCAAACCAAAGTGATCATTCTGCTGTTTGGGAGAAATTACCCTCATCAGTCATCAGGAGATGCACAGCTGCCTAAGGAGATCTGGTTATGTTACTGCATAATAAACTTGGAGGGAGGGAGAGAGAAGAGGGCTGAATTAAGTGCACAGAGGTTAAACTACATGATAAAAAGCTGCCAGTAATCACTCCCACTTCACAACCTGTTTTTAGAACCACATCTGAACCTCAATTTAACCTGAAAAAGCTTTCTGTTTAGGGAATATATGGATTAACAAATCTGGTGTTCTAAGAACTCAATGTGTTCAATGGCGTTGCTCTGAAAAAGCCATTTCATTTGACGTGTATTTGAAAAATAATGATCTATTCTCTATTTTCTAAATGACTACATGAAAAAATCATACATTTCCATCGGACTGTATTTGTACCTTTTTGAGAGAGAGGAGCTTTTAAAATGGTGGTGGTGTTTAATGACGGAGAGAGCAGTAGCAGCTCACGCTTGGTCACTCACCCTCTTACACCTCCTCCACGGCTGCCCTCTGCTCCCACACCTCTCCAAACACTTACTCCTACCTTTATATGTCCTCCTCTGACACCTCTGCTCTGACTGCAGGCAGGCAGGCACTCTATCTCTCCCAAACACTGTTCTCTGACCATGTAGTTTACTCCACCTACAGTTTCTCTCAGCCTTCTCTGCTGCGTGTATACCAGCATTTATTCACCCACAAAAACAATTTATTCTTAAAGACTGTGACAAATAGCAGTTGTTCTGTCTAGCTCCTCTCTGCTTACCTTGGATGGCATAGTTGCTGGTGTTATGAATTGTAACGTGGACTCTGTTTTGTTGCTGTACTAACTGTAAGTCGCTCTGGATAAGAGCGTCTGCTAAATGACTAAAATGTAAAATGTAAATGTACTGCAGAGCAGTTGGAGAGGGGCTTGTGCTGCTGTCAGAACTGCACACAGCCTCACAGTTCTCGCTGTGCCAGCCGCTCGCTCGCTTTACGTTAACCGCAAGAGTTTCACGGTCATCAACCAATGCTGGCCTGGAGGCTGTCATTTCACTCAGTGTGGAGCTCGCCCGCGGCTCTGCTGCCGTTCTGCCCCACAAACTCCCAGCCGGCCTCGGTGGGGTACAGAGTTTCTCTCTCCACACACACACACACACACACACACACACACGTGCATGCTCAGCATAAGGCAGGCCGTTTCAGCAATTACAGGAACATGGCAGAACACAATGAAGCAAGGTCCCGCCATCAGGAGGGAAATAGAGAGAGCTCAGGAAAAATGCTGATGCAATTAATAAGAGAGTCTGTGAGGGAGGCGGACGTGTCAAATGGCGATAATACTAAGGTGTCACTCGTGACTCCATGATGTGGCTAAATTGCATATTTAATCTCTCTTTCTCTCACTTCCCCGCCATCTCCTTCTCTTCTCTTCTCTTCTCTTCTCTTCTCTTCTCTTCTCTTCTCTTCTCTTCTCTTCTCTTCTCTTCTCTTCTCTTCTCTTCTCTTCTCTTTCTCTCACTTCCCTGCCCTCTCTCTCTCTCTCTCCTCTCTCCTCTCTCTCTCCTCTCTCTCTCTCTCTCTCTCTCTCTCTCTCTCTCTCTCTCTCTCTCTCTCTCTCTCTCTCTCTCTCTCCTCTCTCTCTACACGCACAATGACTCCTCTCTTCCAGCCACTGCTTTCTCCTCGGCACTGCAATGCAGATGTGAGCAGGAAACTTTCATCCAAGGATAGAGAGCGAGAGAGAGAGAGAGAGAGAGAGAAAGGGAGTGTGTGAGGGAGAAAAGGCCAAGATATAGAGGGAGGGAGGGAGGGAGAGCGAGGTAGAGAGAGAGGAGTATTGTGAGAGGTAATTGACAGAGGGAAGGTGATTTAGTGCCACCAAGAGGGTGTAGGCAAGGATTAAGAAAGTTTCAGTACATAGAACAAAGGAAAGAGAGAAAGTAAACAAACCATAGCACAGAAAAACAGACGGGAAAACTCTTGATTTCTGCCCTGCTAGAGCTGCCCCGGTCAACTGTAAGTGCAGTTATTGTGAAGTGGAAAGGTCAAGGAGCAACAACGGCTCAGCCGCGAAGTGGTAGGCCACACAAGCTCACAGAACGGGAACGCAGAGTGCTGAAGTGCGTAGCACGTAAAAATAGTCTGTCCTCAGTTGCAACACTCACTACCGAGTTCCAAACTGCCTCTGGAGGTAACGTCAGCACAATAACTGTTCGTCGGGGCTTCATGAAATGGGTTTCTATGGCTGAGCAGCCGCACACAAGCTTAAGATCACCATGCGCAATGCCAAGCGTCGGCTGGAGTGGTGTAAAGCTCGCTGCCAGTGGACTCTGGAGCAGTGGAAACGCGTTCTCTGGAGTGATGAATCACGCTTCACCATCTGGCGAATCTGGGGTTTGGCGGATGCCAGGAGAACGCTACCTGCCCCAATGCATAGTGCCAACTGTAATGTTTGGTGGGAGGATGAATAATGGTGTGGGGCTGTTTTTCATGGTTCGGGCTAGGCCCCTTAGTTCCAGTGAAGGGCAATCTTAACGCGACAGCATACAACGACATTCTAGACGATTTCTGTGCTTCCAACTTTGGCAACAGTTTGGGGAAGGCCCTTTCCTGTTTCAGCTTGACAACGCACCCGTGCACAAAGCGAGGTCCATACAGAAATGGTGATCAAGATCAGTGTGGAAGAACTTGACTGGCCTGCACAGAGCCCTGACCTCAACCCCATCAAACACCTTTGGGATGAATTGGAACGCAGACTGCGAGCCAGGCCTAATCAGACTGCGAGCCAGTGCCCGACCTCACTAATGCTCTTGTGGAATGGAAGCAAGTCCCCGCAGCAATGCTCCAACATCTAGTGGAAAGCCTTCCCAGAAGAGTGGAGCAGCAAAGCAGGGACCAACTCCATATTAATGCCC